GTGTACTAACTGTTTACAGACACGTGGTGGAAATTCACCGCACTAATAGACATCAAAAAGTCATTTAATATAAATTCAACATTCAATCTTTAATCTTAGGAGACAATCATATCAAAAATTTACATGAACATGACACTTAATAAAAACAGCATACTTAATATCAAACCTGTAAAGATTTCGATTAAATACAGGAAGAAGAGTGTATTTTTTTATTTATGAATGTTTATGATTTTTATTTAATATAATCCTTAAGGTGTTACCCATTTCTTTCAAGCTGATTCTGACTCATAGCAATCCTATAGGACAAGGTATAACTATCCCACAGGGTTTCCAAGGAGTGGCTGGTGGCTCTGAAATGCCAACCTTTTGGTTAGCAGATGAGCTCTTAACTGCTGCACCACCAGGTCTCCTCCTAAGGTGTTAGCAGATGTGATATGACACTACCATAGTGACCTGCACATATAAGAGCTCAACACATTTCTTACACTAGTGAATGGTGAAGTTGTCCTGAGAAGATATTTAGCATAAAAGTTACATTTTGAGTTTTACTGAGGTCAAGGCTAAAACATTTGTATAAATGGGTGAAGGAAAACATTGAAATGACTTTCAGGACATTGAGTCTTATGTTCAGGCAACATTATTTAAAAAAGAAATCATTTTTTAAAAGCGTTTAAAAACTAAGTTTAAATCAATGATTAGATTATATGTGCTCTACTGTTTATGAGAAACATTAGATAAGTAAAAGTAGAACTAAAAGGTTAGTAATCAAGTGATATGGACTGTTAATAATTACCACTTCAGTTTAAATGCCTCTTTATTAACTAGGCAACATAGTTTACCTGGGAAATACTATTTAGATCTATAACAAATTCTCCTTCTTTCAAGACAATAATAAAAATTAAATATATAAGTGTGATTAGTACAGCATTGGAATTGTGAAAGGTCATCACTAATTTATGCAGAAGAGAAGTGAAATAATATTAGGTAACACTTGTTCAAAATGTCAACGACCTTGGAATCAGGGAAAAAAGCAATAATTTGTAGACTTATTCATCTGCAAATCATTCTTACCTTGAGTATTTTGAGATTTAATAGAGAAAGCCATTGTGGAAACTTATATCAAAAATATACTACTGATATCTCAGAGAATGTCCTTTATGTATCTTAAGGAGTACCCCAAGAAAATAAAGCATTTAGAATTGAGTGTGAAACCTTCCTGTCTCGGAATCCCAAGGCCTAAGTGTGCAAGCCCCTGATTAACTCTAAGAACCTCTGACAATATATCAAGCGAATGACTGTGCTTTTGGAGGAGTCCACAGGACTGTCTTATAAATTCTGATGAGAACTCCCCCCCCCCAACCCCCACCGTATAACTGCATCAAAACCAGTAAGGAGTATATGTAGGAGGAAAGTTGGTCTTCACATTTAGGTCAGCATTGATACTGCAGGATGTTTATTCAATATTCCAGGAAAATAATTATTAACTGATCTTAATTACACTACAAAGAGTTAAAAATCTAAAAGCGAGAGTTATTGTGCTCTCC